CAACCTCTTACAATCATATCTTAACAGTTGATTTTCATCAATCAACGGTTATTAACCAAATTAACAATCGTTGATTGACGGAAATCATCGGTTAAGATATAGTTGTAAGTAAATCATCGGTTAAGATATAATTGTAAGTTTGTACTAAAAAAAAAAGATATGGTTGTAAGAGATCGAAAACAAAAATAGATTATAATAACCTTCCTCGTTATATATTATAAAAAATTTGATATTTTGAATTTATAGAAATTTCAAAATACCATTACATAGCCATGATTATCAATAACGTAATCAAATGGGCTTATCTTAAAGTAAAACTTTATATATGGCATGACTCTATTCATTACCCGATACACATGGAGCATTAAGTTAATCAAATTGACAAAATAAGAAAAGGAAAAAATTAATAATCAAATTATTGATAATAAGGAAAAAAAATCAACAATCATATTATTGATAATAAGAAAAGAAAAAAATCATATTATAATTATAATAATAAATTTGATATTTTGAATGAATTTATAGAAATTACAAAATATCATTGCATAACCATAATTAATAATAACTCAATCACATAGACTCATTTTAAAGTAAAACTTTATATATGGCATGATTCCATTGGTTACCTGATAGACATGCATGGAGCATTAAATTAACGAAATTAACAAAATAAGAAAAGGAAAAAAATCAATAGTCATAATATTGACAATAAGGAAAACAAATCAACAATCGTATTATTGATAATATGGAAAGAAAAAAATCAATAATTATATTATCATTATTATAATAATTTTAAGAGGAAGATTATACTTACAACATATTTCGTTTACAACCTTTTGTAACCATATCTTAACCGTTTCCGCTAATCAAAGGTTAATATTTATTACGAATTAATAATTAATTAATAAGTTTGATTTACGAAAATAATAACCGTTGATTGACGGAAATCAACGATTAAGATTTGGTTATAAGAGGTTGTAAACGAAAGTAGGTTGTAAATATAACATCGATGTAAGTTTAGCTCATTGGAGGTGGTCCCCCGCCATAGACTCTCTCTAAACCCACCTGATAACATCGACGACACATATTGCAGCTTATGGTATTGGTTCGAAAAGAATTCGAGGGCTTTATGGGTTTAAATGCTCTTGTGATTGTAGTACTATTGTTGCAAATTTGAACTATGTTTGTGAGAGATAAAATATACTAAAACACTATTGTAAAACCCAGCCCAACCCGACCGGCTTGACTCGGAACCCGGAGACCCGGTCATTGGACCGGTCCGAGTCAAGCATTGGACCGACCATGCATTGACCCGGTCAAAACCGGTGACCCAGTGACCCGTAGACCCGGTCGGGTCATGCATTTAAAAAAAAATCAAAAAATCAAAATGATTTCATCTTATCAGAAAAAAATATAGAACTCATTGTAAAAACTTTTTATAATTTTATTTGCTAGTATACTCTTCTACAATGACCTCAAATTTCAGTTTTCAATACTGAAGCAATTTGCGAAATAACAAATTAAGAGAATGTGACATATGTTATTTTAATATAGTTGAATTTGAAAAATATGAGTTCAATGTCATTGAGATGTATGTTTATGGAGATTCTGAGTTGCAATTTAAATTGACATAGCAATAACGTACATTTTTATTTATTTATGCTTCATGTTTTTGAGCTTATTTAGTGAACTATGTTTAATTTATTTTAGTTATGAAAAATATAATTGAATTTATATGTTCATATCTATATATTTTTTTATATATCTATATATATCCGGGTCAACCGATTCGACCAGTGACCCGCCGGTCAGACCAGTGATCCAGTAACCTATTATCTCGACCAGGCCGATGTCCAGTCGGGTTTAATAACACGGTACTAAATGATGTGTCATTGTGTAGATCTCGATAAGTTATGTGAAATAAAAAAATACCTGATTTTGATACTCAAGCCAAAAACTATGATTTTTCAAAGTTTTATTGTAAAACTATTGAAAATTTTATGCCACGTGTCATCACCAAGTAAGTCGCACCCAAATTGAGCGTAACCCAACCCTTAACGGGCCCAAATGAGGCGCGAATAGTTGTTATAAATTCAAAAATTGATTCAAAATTAGTACGTTTTCGTAATTTTTTATTTAAATAATAATATCAATTTTTTTTGGAATATGATATCGTTACTACCAAATAATGTTACTACCATATCTTAACCGTTGATTTTCGTCAATCAACAGTTATTTCAGCCATTGATTTCCGTCCAAAGTACACAAAACACTTCGACCCACTTCATAGCCAACGACACATTTAATTTGAAAATTGTAAATTATAACTATTTTTATTTTTATTTTTTAAAAGTGAAAATGCAAAAAAATCATAAATATATTGTAAAAGAAAGTTATAAAAATTGAAATTGTATTTCTAATTCGTTAGATTTATTTTTTATAAATTTAATTTTTTTTCAAAAAAATACATTAATGTAATAATATTTCTGAATTGCATAAGATGATTGTTAGTCCATCATGTTGCAAAAGTAAATAGTATGCCCAAAATCTGTTATATAAATTTAGAGATAAGTTATTTTATCTACCTTTTTTTTTTCTTCCTGCCACTTTCCAACATTATTAGATCATAATCTCAACTAACTTTTATATTTCTCTCTTTTCTTGAGATTCTCATCTAACATTATTAGAGATTGATAGACAAAATAGACATTAAAAAAATATAGATAGAATAATCCACTGTTGTAAAACCCGGCCCGAAACCCGGAGACCTGGTCATTGGACCGGTCCGAGTCAAGCATTGGACCGGCCATGCATCGATCCGGTCAAACTCAGTCAAAACTCGGCCAAACCCGGTGACCCAGTGACCATTTGATCCGGTCGGGTCATGCATTTTAAAAAAAATCAAAAAATCAAAATTATTTCATCTTATCAGAAAAAAATGTAGAACTCATTGTAAAAACTTTTTATAATTTTATTTGCTAATATACTCTTCTACAATGACCTCAAATTTCAGTTTCAAATACTGAAGCAATTTGCGGAATAATAAATTAAGAGAATGTGACATATGTTATTTTAATATAGTTGAATTTGAAAAATATGAGTTCAATGACATTGAGATGTATGTTTATGGAGATTCTGAGTTGCAATTTAAATTGACATAGTAATAGCGTACATTTTTATTTATTTATGCTTCATGTTTTTTAGCTTATTTAGTGAACCATGTTTAATTCATTTTAGTTATGAAAAATATAATTGAATTTATATGTTCATATCTATATATTTTTTTATATATCTATATATATCCGGGTCAATCGATCCGACCAGTGATCCGCCGGTCCGACCAGGGATCCAGTAACCCATTATCTCGATCAGGTCGATGCCCGGGTCGGGTTTAATAACAGTGAAATAACCTATTCCATAAATTTATTGTTTCTTATGCCATACTACAAGGAGTAAGGACGACTAGCTAGGAAATGTTAAAAATACAAATTGCCTTATTTGGTTGATCTTATCTTATTGGGAAACCTCTAGATTCTTGGTGAACTTGGGAAACAAAAACAAAAATCCATCCATGGTCGTATAGTTGAAGATTATGACCCAACAGTGGACCTTGATTAACACTTGCCAGTTGCCATTAGATATACATGTTCTGCTGCCTAATCTATATGATGTATTTCAACACTTAGACGTTGATGTTCTAATTAACAACCATCTCGATTTTGCACAATGCAAGTATTTTCAAGAAAACTGCAACACCTATCATTCTCTCCTCACTAGCTATAGTCAATTAGAAAGGGTCATCCTCCCTTTTTCTGTCTGGAATTAAGGAAATTTATTTTATAATTGCTTGTGAGGGAATGATACTATTGTCTATTATTAGCAGCAAGGGAAGCAATGAGATAATCCATATAATGCTCACATTTCACAAATTTTTAATTAAATTGACCATATCATGATCAACAAAATTAGCACTTATAAATTCAATCTTGAAATAGGTTTTATTTTTCTCTCTCTCTCTCCTTTTTTTTTTCTTACGAGATTTTCTTACATCCTTTGAGTTCAAGACTACTCTTCGTTCTGAATGCCCACATTTCATGCTTTTAATGGGCTTTTCAGAGTGCACTAGTAAAAGTAGCCTAAAATTGCTCTGGCATCTACATGTTGGACCGTGAGCGCTCAATGCATAAACTTTAATTATATAATTTCATATAAATTAATTATACTGTGCAAAGTTTTGCATATTAGGGAAAAGCTCCGTTTACAAAAAAATTTCATAAAATTTTGTAAATTACACTATGTACTCTCGGAAGAACATAGTGTAACTCAATGTTCTCCCGGGAGAACATAGTATAGTTTATAAGAGTTTGTAAACAAAAAGTTTATAAATATAACTCTCCCCAATATAATATGTAATGAATCATGGTATAAATTCAAAACACGGTTTTCACGGCTAATATATACGGAAGGTGTACCAGCTTTGATTTGGAGAAAAATTTCTGCAACATTTAAGTCTAATGAACTTTTATGTGAGAATGTGTATTAGAAAAGTTTAATATAAAAATCATTTATTCACGAATTTAAACTTTTGGATTAATTTTTCACAAAATATCACTATATCTTGGTCTAATTTAAAACTCAATATTGCAGTGAACCAATGAGATAATAAAAATTAGAACTCAATAATGGAATCACCTTGTAGAGAGTCTCGGGCAGGGTATGGCTGAGAATCGAGAGGGAGGTGAAGGACATGATTGGCTCTATACAGCTGAAATCCAGCACAGTAACAACAATGAAGAATGGTATGCAAAATGTGACTCTCAATGGAAAGTGAGGTATTTATAAGGGAAAACGTGGATTTATATATGACAAGAAGCATTCTGAAGACAACTACAAACTCTGGATCCAATATGGTCAAGAATATGCAGCATAACCAAGTAATGAATGTTACAATCCTTACATGCATCAACCTCCACAGATCAAACACAAGGCCAACTATCAATCAACATCACCAATAAGACAATTAATGTTGTTGCTTTGGTATTTCCAAAGGAAAAACACCACCAATCTACTAAATAGCTATCTCACCTAGGACCCATTTTAACCATTCACAAATTCAGTACCACATCCTACAATTGAAAATGAGAACCCGCCCCTAAAACAGAAAAAGAAACAAACACAAGCATTCTCTTCTCATGGTCACAGTCAATATCCATAAGAAACAACCAGATTTTCACATCAGACAAAGGGAATTGAAATGCCCACAAGCAACTTCTATACAATAATAATTAAAAAATCACTCCCCATAAACACCGATTAGCGAGAGTAGGGATGCAGACAGTTCTATATGCAGCCTTATTCTGGTATATTTGCAACGATATTGTTGTTTTCCAGAATCAAACTCGTCACCTTTCAATCATAAAAAAAGTAGCTTTACCACGGCTCAAGACTTGCTTTCTTTCTACACAACAACAACAACAACAACAATAATAATAATAAAAACAACCTAGTACAAAGCTTCTGCTGTGTGCAGGTCGAGTTAAGAATCAGATCCATTGTGTGAGTCTACATTAATTGCATGAATCCAACCTGTAAAGGTTTCCTTCAAACCTATACACAATAACTTAAAGAGACAAATTCAGATGAAATTCAATAAACACACAACACAAATCATCCACTGTAAGTAGCAAAATCCACAATTACTAAAAAAATACATACAGTGCATACCCATCATCCTTAAGACAATGAAAATCTCAACTTTCCTTTACCCTCTGGCCTTGAGTTCGGCTAGGCGCCTAGACAAGTCATCCTCGTCGACCTTGTCTGCGGCGTCCATGGCGGGAAGCGCGTGAGCCGCCGGCTGCGGGAGGCCGACGGAGACCTGAAGGCCGTAATCGTCTGCGACCTGCTGCATGAGGGAGTTAACCTCGCCCTCAGGGGTTGAAAGCGAGGTTGATCCAGCCATGGCGGATTCCATGAACTCAGCCTGAACCTCCATGTTCACGAACTGCTTCTCGAAGCTGTCCATGGTCTCCGACATCTTCTGGAGGTTTCCGGTGGCGAGAGTGGATTCTAGGGATTTCACGATTGTTCCCATCGACTTGCTTATCGTCGACATCTTCGCCTGCGTGTCGAGGCGTGCAACGACGGCGTCGAGGCGCGATGAAAGACGGAGGTAGTTCATCTGCTCCGTTCGCTTCCGGATGGCGTTCTCGGCGTAGATTCGAGCGCCGTCCATGTTTCCCTTCTCGATCGCTTTCTTCACCTTTAGCTTCTCCGATTTCTCGTCCTTCTCGCATTTTCGAGCTTGACGCTGAAGCGATTTCGAGGTGAATTTCAGCTCCATGATCTGGTTCATCAGCTTCTCCGTGTTCCCCATTGTTACCTAATTAATTCCTCGAGAGGTAGAAGAAGAAAAGAAAAACTAGGGCTTTTGGGTGAATTTGAAAATTTGGGGATTTTGATTGAAAGAGAGGAAATGGAGGATGTTGTGATATTTGTGAGGAAACAGGGCATATTCTTCTGCCCGCGCCCTTCAAAAACTTATGATGGGGAACACCGCAAGTTCAAATGAGTATAAAATCAAGTGTAATCAACTCTCTCTTTTTTTAACTCGACTATTTCAATTTGAACCAATAAAATCGTAAAAAAATATATAAAATGAGTATGACATATATGGACTAAATTAAAAACGATTTCAAGTATAAGGATCAATTTAAAAACAGTTTTGATGCAACGACAAGATTAAATGTGAACATAGATAAAAATCTACTTAAACTTTTGGATATGAAGTGTTATTTATATAGTATATACAATGGAAAAGTGTCTATACTTTTAAATTACACAACTTACATCCTTTCACTCTCACAAAGAGGTGGGACTCACAACTTTATTTTTTTTGTCAACTCTCTCTCCTCCTTTATCTATCTCTTTCTCTCTCTTAAAATGACACAACTTTACATCCTTCAAAATTATACACACTTTTCCCATATACAATAATGGAGCCACTTGTAGTTAATTTTTAAAAATAACATAGAATTATGTACAACTTTAGTATTAATTGAGTTTTTTAAAATTGATACCGACTAAATTCTAGCTGATGAGTCTTTTAGTATTGACTGAATTTTTCTTCTGGTTACGTTACACATATATGTAATGCAAACAAATTTGATTATTATGATAAATATATGGAAAAAGTGTGTATTTTTTTGAAGTATGTAAAATTGTGTCATTTTAAGTGAGAGAAAGAGATAGATAAAGAAGGAGAGAGAGTAAACAAAAAAATATAAAGGTATGGGTCCTATCTCTTTGTGAGAGTGAAATAACACAAATTGTGTCATTTAAAAGGACAAATACTTTTCCCTGAATATATATTATTTATTTTGTATATTAGTAAAATTTAAACATTCAACCTGATACAAACTATCTTGGTACAAGTACAACCTTATATTATCCACTTCCAACCCAATGAAATGCAAATTGGATTTAGCGCCAATTTTTTTTTGAATAGAACCAAAAGTACGACTTGTAAGCCCCGCGCCTAGTGGAAGCGAAATGTGTATGCATGAAAACATACGAATACAAATAAAAAATCTAATATTAAATAGTTAACGTAATTATACATCTTCAAATCTATTATCAAAATTTGCTTCTTTTTTTTGGTACTAAAAATATGCTTCCTTTCCATTACCTTAGTGGGCGTTTGTTACATAGATTATACTGGAATTCCTTGAAAAACTTTGATAAGGAGAATTAGAATGTCATATTTGGTACCAATAAATGCAAATCTTTTTTCGATAAAAAGTTTATCTGATTTTTGTTGCTATGTGTAAATTCTTGTACGGCTATCTTGTTAGAAAATTCATAGATTATGTGGTATAATTTTTTGCATGGGAAATAAAAAGTAACCAAAATAATGTTGACCAAATTAACCCTACTTTTTGTATACTAATTTTGAATGAAAAAATAAAAGTGGGGTTATATTTGTGAAATAATCTCACATTCTGACTACTATTTCACAATCAACCAAACATCAACTCAGTAAACTTAATCAAATATTTTTGGGACAAATTTTGGTCAACCAAACACATTTTTGTAACTTATCCGAAAAAAAAAAATTCCATCACATTCCAACAAAATTATTTTCTCAGTGTTTTTTTTTTCTCTTGTAGCAATCACCCTGTTTGGTTCAAGGTTTATTTTGGGATTGATGGGTAAGTGTAAGTGAATATTGGAAAATATCACGTTTAGTTTAGGTTTTTTCAAAAAATACTAGGCAAATAGGATAGATGGGGAAATGACTTTTGTGTTGATTTTTAGATGAAATTCACTATTACGGAATACCACTTGAGATGTGGTATTTTGAGATAACTGGGAAAGTGAAAAAACAGGTGCAAAGTTTCTCCCGAACATAGATTTTGCAAATTTAAATAAAGTTCTCTGATAATATTTCGGTCAACCAAACAACTTTTTTTATATTTTCCTACCAAACTCACTTTCCAATCATTTCTCTAGTAATTACATTTCCCTAGTATTTAAAAAATTTCTCATCAACCAAACGCCCCCTTAAAATATTAGATGAATGAATTTTTTCACTTGTGTAATGCTCACTTAATTCATTTCAACTAATGTAAAAATTCATTCACTCAGATTCGATTCCTCGAAACTGAATTCAGAAGCATTTAATTTCTGTTAAATCTGCTAAAGAGTAACGAATAAAGGATAAGGCGAACAAGAACAAGTACTCACCCAAATCGCTGCAATGTATCATTGCACACCACACACGGTGGGATTTGATGCAAGTGGGCAAGTGCCATGGCATATATCCTATTGAAGAAGAGAATGAATGTAAGCTTACCAATCTCCCCTAAATGATGACATAGAACTGGAAAAAAAAATTAGTGTTACCAATCTCCCCTATATATATTTTTTTCTTCTAAGTTTTATAGTTATAGAAGGTTTGATAGACTTAAAATATTTTGCTTCGTACTCAAATTATTTTGTATAAACTTAACTTATTTAGATCAAAACTAAACCCGTTCAGTTCATTTACACACCCCTTGTTGTACTCTTAATAGTTTATAATAACTATTTTTTTTGGATAAATTATAATAACTATTAATTAGTATATGATTCATCACTAGAAATATTTCTTTATTTATATATATTTATATATATATATATATATATATATATATATATATATATATATAGGGATTAATAAGAATAATGTTGCAGGTAAAAGATGATATCATGCAATCACATAAGACAAAATAAAGTTAATGAAAACAGTGCTTCTTCAACTTTTTTTTATTATTATTTATCTTGTCGTTACTTTTGTAGGAAAAAAAAAAATTAAACCTGTTGAATGACGAAACCAAAGCCCATATATATATATATATATAAACAAATATAATTAATAAGTTAGAATCATTAAATATAAGTGAAATTAATAACTAACCATAAATATTGATTTTATTAATATAAGTTGGGGGAGGAGGTTATACTTAGCATTTTTTTTTCTTAGCACCTCCAAAGTTTTTACAAGTCAATAAAAAAAATTAATAATGTGTTAAAATAAAAAGAAGCAAGAGAAATATGCATGCACGTGTGGACAAGTCCTTATGTTATGTGTATGTCCCTCCTCAGTCCTCAGCACAGGAACAGGTTGGTGCCGAATAATGGGTGTTTCCCCTGTTACATGACATCTCTCTCAAAACTCAATTCTCATCGTATTTTCCTTCTTTCTTTCTGTCCTTTTCCTTCCAATTTGTTAGTTTGTGTTTATCTTATCATCTCCACTTTCACCGCTTCCCTCGAAAATCTCGTCATTTGTGTTTGACCCTTTAAACAAGACACTCCCCTAGAGGTTGCTTTTTCAGCCCATTCCAATAAAACCTCCATTTTTTTCCCTCAAAATTTCTTCATTTTTTTATGGCAATTTTTTCAACAACCCCTTTTGGCCAAAAAGGAATCTTTCTTCTCCTCATTTGAATTTATATTTTCTTGCTTTTTTTTTTTTTTTTTCCTCTCGCGTACATTGTGTCATTGTTATTTAAAAATGAAGGAGCATGGAAATGAAGAACCTGCCTTTGAGATTGGGGTGGTAATTCCCAGGAGGGTTGTGCAGGAAAAAGATGAATCCTCCTCTGACTGCGCACGCGTCCTTGTAGAGGAGTTTACGAAGGTGGGGTTTGTAGTTGAGAGAGTTATTGGCATTGCAGATGAGTTTATCAAGGTTAGGTTTTATCAATGCCTCCCTATGTTTTAACCCGTTTTGTTTCTTTTTATATTAATTCAAGTCACCTTAACCAACGTTATGGTGCATAATAGCGTGGCAGAAGTTTTTTTTTTTTTTTTTTTCTCATACATATTTTCATGCCTCATAGAATTTCCATTGCATAATAGTGTGGCAGGAATGTTTTTTGTTTCTGTCATCTGAAGTAAATTGTGGTTTTATTTGTTCCTTTTCTTGGTTTGTCTGGGGAATTCTAGTCTGTTTTTTGACAAGCATTTTCTTCTTCTTATTTTGTTCCATGGTGCATGTATCTTGTGGTTTACTCGGTTCTGTGTGTTTAATTTAAGCTTTTTTGTTGAGTAACTAAAACTTAGCTTTCATTTGTGTAGTTGGCTGCACCTTTGGAGACACTGGGGAGGGCTGCAGCTGAACTGCAAATCAAGAAACGAACTCATATTGGTATATGAAAAATCCCCAAAAGGGGCATCTGTTCTACCTAATGCTATTTATGTTTAAGTTCATTGTGTCACATGGTGATAACTAGCATTTGACTGGTTGAGCAATTCTTCTGTTTATGTTACTATTTCTTATGCTCATTGCCAGGTATGGATTTGCAATTTGAGGTGGAGGAGGTCGAAGCTTTTGTGAAACAACCTGATGGTTCGGTTTTCAGTTGGTGTGAGCGTTTCCAGTGCTACTGTCACTTGATATATGGAATGGTGAGTTCTTTTCGTAGTGAATGTGCATGTCAAAATCCTTCTTAATAGAATTCGGCTTCTTATGTAGTCAATCCTAATAGGGAGTGTGCTTTCAAATTTTCCATTAACTAAATATCAGGTTTTCAATTCTTGATTTGGTTTTACTTATTAGCCAGTTCCACACATGCCACTTCTTGTTTTATCAGATTCCCAGATCATAGATGCTTTGACTTTTTACTTCAAGAAAATTTTATGAAAATGCATTATTGTGATGATGAATGAACAAAAAAATTGATGGCTTGTTATTTAACTTTGTAGCTATGATCAGCATTATAGACATGAATATCATGGAATGGCACTCTTGTATGAACTCCCCTATTGACATGTCTTAATATTTTGGTTCTCTTGTAAATTGAATTTGCAGGTAAACAACAGCAAGTCAGCCATAACCCTTGAATTTGATGGAAAAGAAATTCATTGGGAAATAGGGGAGAATCTAATTCTGAAATTGGAATCAGAGAACATTGTTAAGCAAGTCTTTCCTTTGCATGGTGTTTTTACTTACATGTGCCATCAAATTTTCTATAGATTTAGCATCACTTGAAGCCTGAACTAATATTGCTTGCGGTTGATAGATGAAAAGAAGAGAAAGAAACTTCTCAGAAGTTGGGCACTCCAGTGGTGGGACTTCACAAGTCAGCCAATCGATGAGATTTATTCATATTATGGGGCAAAGGTGAATGAGACTATGAGCTTTATGACATTATTTGAAAATGAGATTGTCCATTCTTATCCAATGAAGGAATGAATAATCTGCAGATTGCAATTTATTTTGCTTTTCTTGGAATGTACACACGGTGGCTGCTCTTCCCTGCTGCATTTGGGCTTACTTTGCAATTGATTGATTTTGGGTGGGCCAATCTGTCTGTTTATGCTACTATTTCTTCTTTGGTTTGCATCTAGTTAAGTGATTATATGACTTCTTATTACATTTTAGGTCATTGAAATTAGTAATGCTCCCTGTTTTCTTCATCGTGGTGATACTTTGGGCTGTAATGTTTTCTCAATTCTGGAAACGTAAAAATTCTGCACTTTTAGCCAGGTAATGATTTACTTCTACTTCTTTTGAGATCAGTGCATTCGCTTTCGTTATGGACTCCTCCACTTGCTGAGATTCTTCCCTCTGCCCCCATACCTTTTCTCTCATGTTTTGGTGTTTCAGATGGCCTATTAGTAGCTCTGAAGTTGTAACTGACCCAGGCTACAAGATTCCAGGCAGGAAGGGAAGCTCCCTACAGCCCCCTATGGAACTCATAAAAGTATTTGAGTCTAATAAAGTAGAAGGGAAGAAAGTATTCCAGAGATATGAGTGGTTTGGGCGTCTCATGCGATTCAGAAATGACGCTCTCATTATCTTCAGCATAATATGCCTCCAGTTACCATTTGAGTTGGCATACGCTCATCTTTATGAAGTTGTTGGTTCTGATGTAATTAAGTAAGAATCTGAATAATTCTTTTTTGTGCTTCAACTTGGTAGTGTTAGTTGAATATTCTGTTATTTCTTTTTAGGAAATTTATTCTCTAGGTTGTTCACTTATTCCAATGATTTTATATTGTTCTTTTGTTCTCGTGTCTCAACAAAAGGATCTTCCGTTTGCAACATTTATGTCGTCACCATCTTTACTGATATAGTTTTCTCAACCATTCTGAAAGATTTTGTGTTATATTTTCAGCCCCTTAAGAGTATTGATGTGACCACGTCCTTTAATGTCATTTTTTCTTTGACATATTTAGTTGCAATAACCCTATTTTAGCCTTCTTGTTTCTGTCAAACTAATAATTGCTCTTAAATATACTATTTCTATTTGAATACCTGCCATCTTTTCTGTTGAGTGTGATTTTGCTAGATGCAATTCATCCCATGATTCACGCATGCCAATCTGGACCTTTTGCCTTTGTACACGAGAATAAGAACTTACAAGTCATATTCATTTTGTTCTAAAACAGTCCCACAGGCTTCTCATTCGTCCATACAGAACTCATGAATGCCATTTGTTATTGCCAAAATAACTTGGAAATTTTGAATTTGTATCCCATTAGAAAGGACTAGTTTGATTCTACTAAATAATCTGTAATTGGGTACTAAAATGTATCTTTTAACTTATTGTTAGTCAATAAATTCTTATATTTGGTAGAGTCAAAAAATTTCCTTAATATGACTCTTGTTTTAAATGTTGGGGTTCAGGTTTGGGCTCACTGCTATTTATCTTTTCGCCATTCAGTATATTACCAAGATTGGTGGCAAGGTGTCTGTCAAACTTATCAAGTCTGAAAACAATGAAAACACAGAAAAACGGGCTGACAGCTTGGTCTACAAGGTAATGATGATGGGGAATTAATAGTTCCAATATTGCTTTTCTCCCTAGTAGTAAACATGGAGCTTAGAAGATTACTTTCTCCTGCAGGTGTTTGGTCTGTACTTCATGCAGACATACATTGGAATTTTTTACCATGCCCTACTGCACCGTAACTTCTCAACTCTTCGCAAAGTGTTGATTCAGCGCCTCCTTCTGTCTGAGGTCACAGAAAAGTTTTCTTTTGTTTTCTTTGTCTCTTCCTTCTCCCCTTATCCCTTTTCTTTTCTACTTTCTCCCACTCTCTAGTTTGGAGTTTCTCCTTTAACTTAGTGGAGTGAAAAAAAATAAAAAATTCCAGGTGTTTGAAAACTTGTTGGAAAATTCAATTCCTTATCTCAAGTACAGCTATAAAAAGTACAGGGTTCGGTAAGCTTTTTAATCCCCTTAGACATGGACTATGCTAGGTTTACGTTGTATACCATATTACCACCATACAATAGCTAATTTATCTTTCATTTGTCAAGACACAAGAAGAAGAATGAGAAAGGAGAATCAACAGATAAAATCCAGTTTACTTCTAGAGTGGAGAAAGAATACCTTAAACCTTCTTACTCTGCTAGCATTGGTGAGGAGCTTGAAGATGGTTTATTTGATGGTACTTCCAAATCCATTATACTCTCAAATTTCGTAAGATATTTAATTCTTGAACATATGGAATATAAGTAATTTCATTTGGTTAAACGTGTATTAGAAGTTAGAACTAAAAAGACTTAATTTCTCGGCATGTTTCGGAAGCATCGCAAGCCTAACATTTTCATTTAACTGAAAAATCCTAACCTGATTGCAGATTTCTTGGAGTTGGCGTTGCAGTTTGGAATGATTTTGATGTTTGCTTGTGCATTCCCACCTGCATTTGCTTTTGCTGCTGTGGTACTGCTTTTGTCTACCTTCTTTTTGTTTTTTTGTACTTACTTTTGCTTGCCTTCACCATTGCTATAAACGCTCTTTAATTTATTTTGAGCTTTTGTAAAATATTTTATTGTTGACAACTTAGTCCCTCCCTGTTCAGAACAACATTATGGAAATCAGGACAGATGCATTGAAGCTGCTAGCAATTTTGAGACGGCCTGTTCCTCGTGCCGCAGCAACAGTAGGAGCTTGGCTTAACATATTTCAGGTAGTTTCTGATAAATTGGATTGGAACTCGTGCGTACCAAATAAGCAACTATATAAAAGGTGTATCTTTTGAAATTTTTAGCATGTCACCTTTTAAGTTTTAATTGATGAAGGGACATGTAAAAGAATTATGTTAGTCCAAACTGTCAACTGTCATTGCCATTAGATGTTTGTAAAAGTATGTCTTTAAACATGAATGATGCTTCATCAGTAAACTTTTGACGTGTGACACTATGAATTATTCTTAATTTTGATCTTAACTTAATCTGATATGAGGATGTACTTCATTTTGCAGTTTCTCATATTGATGTCTATATGCACAAACTGTGCTCTTTTAGCATGGCTATTTGATGAGGAGGGAAAATGGAAAATAGAGCCTGGACTTGTAGCAATTTTAATCATTGAGCATGTCCTCTTGTTGATTAAGTTTGGTTTCTCTCGCTTGGTTCCTGAGGTGATTGTTTCCTCTCTTACTTCCCATCCACAATCATTCCTTTCCATGTCTATCAGAGATGAAAGTTTTCTTCTTTACAGGAACCTGCTTGGGTAAGCGCCAACCGTGCAAAACACACTACACAAGCACAGGATATGTGTTCTAAGAAGCTTTTGAGGACCATTTCTGGAGGAAACAAGACTTTTAGAGATGTTAAAAAGTTGGACTGATTTTTTATGAAGTAGTCACTTCATTGTCTTTTCAGCACAAAACAAAGAAAGCTTAAGCTAGATTGTTCTTTTTTATTATCTCAGTTTCCCACGGCTGAGTTGTATATTAAGAAGGAATTTTGCTGTAATCCACACGTTTGTCTTCTTCCCTCTTCTGAACTGATAAGAAAACTTTACCTATATAATCCTACAGTTTAGTCTTCCCTTTCAATTGTCTTTTATAGCTGTAGTACTCAATACTTGGGGAGATATTGTTGGAACTGAGAATTGCATTTTGGGATTTTTCTTTTGAGGTGCATTTTTGTAAAGTTATTATATTTTTTGTTATTTATTCTGAAAAGAGAGACTTATATATTTTGGTGTAATTGACACAATGTAAATACTGTTTAAAAAAAACTGTATTGACACAATGATATTGGATTGTTCTGCATGGAGACAGAGACAGCAGCAGATCAATAGTTGCACAGACCAATGTCAAATAGTGACATCTCCAAAAGATGAAAGCTTAGTTGACAAAAAGGGTTTATCCTGTGAAAAAGATGCTAGGGTTTAATACTGAAATGCAATTTAATGATTTGATTAGGATACATTTGGATTGAAAAGTCAAAAATTCACATTTCAAACCTTCAATTGCTTCTCCTTTTGATATTTGTAACTAAACGCTTCCTTACAAGTGTGTATTTGGCAAAACTCTATATCCCAGAAGGCAGGTACATAAGCAGTTAAATGGTAGCAGCTTATCTATTGAACATTGAATTAATCAAAAATCAATTTTACAAACAGGGCTTCTTATAATTTATAGCATAACTATCTTATGGAAACCCAAAATTGAAATCGACCCAAGCTAAGAAGAAAATAAAAATTACTTTTTATTCCAGATTATATATACAATATCTGTTGTGAGATTGAAATTCATTGTAATTTGGTATTCTACCTTCATAATGATAAGGCTTTGATTCTTGTCATTGTAAATTTTCAGGGACACAATTTCACCTCCCCCAACATTATTTGATCCATCTTGCTTCACATGAACATATGTACAACAACCACATCTCTAACATCTATGCACAAAATCTCAAGGCGACACCATGTTTTCATGTAAAGCTCATCTTCATAGTCCACCAACAACAGTTCTTCCATTTTGTTCCCTTAGACAACAAATTTTTATTCCATCAAGTTAAATTTCTGACTTGCCATGAGAGCTTCCAAAACGGTCACTAACTTGGCGTGCATATGCAACAACAGCCTTAGCCCACCTCTTAATCTCAGTCTTCAACTTGTTGGAATCCATGTCTTTAAGCTTCTTCCCTGGCTCCATAGACACCTCCACCGAAGAGAAACAACGACCAAAACGCCTCCGTTTCGAAGGTTTCTGTCCCTTAAGGATGGCAGTGGCATTGCCATCATTGAGAGAATGTGATTTCTTTACAGACATGGCTGCTGTTTGATCAGCAGCCAGAATAGTTGGTGAAAGAAATATATTTACTAATAATGAAACTATATATTATGTCTAATTATTTATAAGGCTGAAGAGTTACACTATGACAAGTAACCTAGTATTCCAATGCGTGTAATAATTTGTTTTCATTGACTTTAGACTTTGTCAACAGTTTTTAGGATTGATTCCTTAGCAAGTTTAAATTAATTGATACCTCACCATATTCTATTTGATTTTTCTCTTATTTTGTTCTTCTCTTTTGTCTGAGAGAAGTCATTAATAGAATTATAAACGAAAATTTAAAACTCTTTATTTCTTTTGTATAGGATGAATGTATTTGTGTTGAATATAATATGCAAAACAATGGTTGGCTTCCATAGGAATGGTGTTTACCTTTCAACATTAGATATATTCCAATCCGTACGAGTGCACCAATTGCATTATTCATTTGGAAAATTTCTATGAAAATAATATAGACCGCGTTAGCTTAACTATGAAGAATAATTTGAACAATATTCTAATAGATAAGATTTGGGTATATGCGCATTTGTGACAAGCCGTTTATGATTGTCACACGTGACAAGCCAGACAATAGTCAGGCCTAATCATTAGAGGACCAAATGTTGGCAATAATAACACATCACCATATAACAAATTAACAATAGCGTTACCACTAAAATGGACGCAATATAGGCACAACAATACATAAATAACAAAAAAATGAAATAACAAGCATTAGGTTTCAAATGCGATGAATTATTCTTCTCAGTGAAAAATCCCATCTACATTTGCGATAGTAATATATGGCAGTGGACGAGGCAAACAAGTAACAGTGGTGTTAGAAAAATCTAAAATATAGAATATAAAACTATTTATGCTGGGTGCCAAGGTCCCCAACAAAACTTACTACATGCAGAAAGTAGAAACAATTAAAAGCTATTTAAGCCACAGAAATCAAGATAGTTTTTGTTCCAGTGCATCCTCTTTTTCAACATCAGAGTTCAATTCCTCAACGATTGGCCCTCTGGGTTTTCTAGGTTCTGGAGCCTGATGCTCAAGAAATCCAGATGGATGCATACCTGGGGTGAAGGGATTTCCACTTGGACCAAAGGGAGTAGACGGGTGAAGAAGGGATCATCAAATGGGTCCCTTCCCCCCAAAAAGTTTGACAATAGACTCCTGGGAGGTCCAAAGGTACCAAAGCCTCCAAAACCAACAAAAGGGTAACTAAAGTCAAAGAAAGAATCCCTGCCACCTCTGGGTCCTTGCATTCTACAAAAACCAAATATTTGACCTCTCAATCTGTGCAGGATAACTAACCCGTAAATATTAATGTACAAACAGCATAAAAGTAACATAAAATTTAAGAGCTTCCACAAGACAAAGTCCTTTATCATTATTTCCAGTTCCCAGGATCAGTAATATGACTGTGCTACCAATACCATTCAAAATATAAATTAATAAAATAATTCCAATTCTAAGGGAAAGTTTAAGGTGCATCCCTTCAACCAGGATGTGTTGGTGCTGGTGAACATAAAACATAAACTATCAGATTAAATCTACAGCAGTAGACTTTTGAGTTGACAAATTGACTAGCAAGCATAATGAACATCTTCACATTAATCTACTGAATTGAGTTTACAAATCGACTCAGACAATATATCTTATGACGGAAATGCATCCAAGGGAATTTCATAACCATGCTTGAACATCTGACCCAATATTTTCAGAACCATGGATCTCTGACGACCAAGCAGATAAGCTCTGTACATTATCCACAATGATTTTTTTGAGCAATCAATGTTGACACTTTCCATTTCATCGACCACTCTTGGCATTTCCTCAAAGCGCTTTTGTGACCCATACATGACCAGCTTACAATGATATAAGCTGCGGCATATTCTCCACCCAGCAAATTCAGCACGACTAATAAAAGTTTCTAGCTTTTCTACAGCATTGTACCGAAAATAAGTTGCAATTATGCATTTCATAATACCAGTAGTTGTTACAGGGGTTCTGTGCTCAAATGCCTCATTTATTGCATTCTCCATTTCCTCTAAACAGTCTTCCTGAGCATAGAGCCTAATCAACAACACATTTAACCATGGCCTGTACTCTACTTCTGGGATAAACTTCAACAATACCTCTACTTTCTTAATTCTATCTGCTTCAGAACTTTTACAATAGGCACATATCATAGACCTAATCAGCTGTATTTCTTGTTCATTTACATGATCCCTTACCAAGGAATATGTCTCTTCCATCTTCTCTAGATTACTGGAAAGCGCATATCCGCGAAGCATCAGCAGGTAGGTCTTCAAGTTAGGCTTGACATGGCTTGACTTTAACTCAAGAAAAACTTTTTCCATATCATCCCACATCCATGCTGCGATATAACCAACAATTAAATGATTATAAGTGCTTATATTAAGGGAGAAATCTAGCTTCTTCATCTCCTTGAATGTTGCTTCCATATGATCAACCAACAACAAGCGACCAAAAACAGATACAAGAATATTGTATGTGGCAATGGAAGGATCGCAGGCTGCATCATTCTTCATATCACAAAACAAGGACTGGCACCTTTCAGCATGACCATTGAACATAAAAGCACCCATCAATGCATTATAAGTGCTGGTTGTCTTATGGCCCTTGCTTGCAGCCTCCTTAAAGATCTCAACCGCAAGATCAACATTCCTAGATCTACCTGCAACTTTTATACCCTTAGAGTACTCATAAGTAGTCATGGAGGTGCCAACATCAGAGCTCTTTCTTCTCCAATCAAACACCTGGAAAAAAAAAAGGGTTAATTTCAAATTTACAATCATTGATTTAACTGAATCGAAGTTAGGAATTGCAAATACCTCAAGGGCCAGGGAAGGCCATGAATCCAACTGATGCAAAAGCTCAAGCAATGCGGATCCACCGGGGTGAGACCCACTTAGCGAATTAGAATTCTCGTCCAAAATCTTACGAACCCTAATAGAGTCCGAGGCTTCCTGAACCAATTCGTTCCTCAAAATCGTGACTTTTTGGGTGAGTTCCTCTTTGTGAGAAAAGCCAGGCTTTGCAGTGAACAAGGAAACGATGCCTGATACCTTGTTTTGCAAAGTGTTGACCTTGCGGGTTGACCCATAAGACATAGTGGTGGTGAAAGGGTGAATGGCTTTGGGATTTGAGGAGAGAGAGATTCCATCGAATTGGGATAATAACAACTCAGCTTGCGCTGCATCTGCAGAAAATCTCCGCATTCGCTTCATTGTCACTGCTCGAGATTTGTCTAGGGTTTTACAGAGAAGAAACCCCTTAAGAACCACAAAAATAAGAAATAATGAGAATGATTTTGTGGATTTTCTAGTCTGGACTGATTGAAATGAGCAAAGTTCATACCATATGTAAGACTTGACAACCTTGCTACAAGCAATTTAGTTAATGTTACTCCATAATTTAGCAGTAACACATTTCTCCATAATTTCAATATCACTTGTTAGCAGTTACACGATAAAACAAAATTACATCCAACAAAATCTGTAAAGTTTAGCAAAACGTTTCTCCATAATTTTAATATCACATGTATCCTTGGTTTTAACATTCAAAATCAGCAAAGAAGTGTCTTCCATTACAAATACCCACTCCATCAAATTAAGGTGCTGCCAAAAATTCAAAATCAGCAAGTGTCTTTGACTACAGCTAAGGATTTAACAAGTGCCATCCTTTCCAGCCCCTGTACAAAATGTCGCACATAAATATACATGAATACTTTATCATAAATCCTTGTTTATCACATGTGGTTCAACAACTAATGTTATTTCAAACATTTGAAGGAAGGACACAGAGACTTGATTGACTGAAAAGGCGGCACCTTTAAATGAAACTGTACATGAGTCATGTAGTGCTGTCAAAACGGGCCAGCCCGACTCATTTAGCAATGATATAAACTCAATAAGGCCAAAAGCCCTATTGGTTAGAGCTAGCCCGTGAGCCTTTCAAAAATTAGTATGTATTTGTTTTTATAAAAAAAGCCCATTCTCGATTTTTATTATTAACCAGCATTTATTATTGCTACACTGCAAAATATCAATGCCCATCTCAGAAACTTCACATGATTAATGAAATAAGGAAGATCGGTTTAAATTAAACATACAGTAATGCAAAAATTATTACAATTCACGAACCAACGCAAGCAAAGAAGTTTTTGATTGAGAAATGTCAAAACGTCTAGCCAAGGCCTGCTTCAATTAACATCTCAAGTTGCATTATTGCAAAAGCATCACGACCAGCAAAATGACAATAACAAATAATTCACACAATAAAATTACTCAAGATAAAGCATAACAATTTCAGAACCAAGTTCTAAGTGCAGGTAAAGTACCCATATGAAATTAAACTACATCCCATGGCCTATAATCATTTTGTTCCTAGCAAAGGGAACACATTAGGAGCAACTAATTTAGAATTTTAGATAAAGTGGGAACGGGAAAAGGATAGAGAACAAAAAAGTTTCATTATCACCACTCTTTTTTGCTTTGGATTTTCTTAAAAAAATAATAAAGAAGGGAAATCAATGTGATAAACAACTATCGACCTGAATACCTTCTTTCTGAGTACATTGTTTCTAAACTACATTCATTAATTAATATAACTTTAGCTATTCTTTTGAATGACCTATAATTTGTTGCTCGCATATTATAAACCAAAGTGTGAACCTCGATGAGCTTCCTCAACCATAGAAAGTCATTTCTGTTCAAAGTTCCAACATTAACCCAGTACCAAAAAGCATCAATCAAATCAGTGGGGGAAAAAAAACAAGAAATTCATATCTTTTACTCCTCATTCCTCACAAGTTCTTTTAATCTTTGTTGGTGTCCGGGTTTGAAGGTTAAGAAGCTCCACACCATACTAGACATTAGATATGAATCATATGCTACTATACATGTCCTTTCAGAAATCAGAAGCAATTTATAGCACACGGGAAACTCATTACCAAGCTAGGCTTCTGTTTCCTTAAATTTGTTGGCAGCCACACATGCCATGTGATGAAGTAATAGAACAACACACTTGAACAACATTAAAGCCATAACACACTTGCAACGGAAATAGAATTCTATGGTGTAGAAAGGTAAGAAAATTCTATTTGAGTGTTGATAAGGTTGTATTTCGAATTATAGAGTATGTGAGAGAGGTCGACAGTTTGTATCTAATCCAATACCGAAGACATGATCTAATTTTTGTTCTAACTTATGGTGTACTGTACATAATATATTCTTATGAAGCCACCAACATCATGTTTTTTATTAAACCATGTCAAATATATAAGGCATTTCATCAAACAGCTTGTGGGCAATGGAGTTGGAGTTGCTACTTACTTCTTCTACGTTGGCCAATAGCTTCGGTGAGCGCCAACTTTTGCAAGCTCAGACCGACGAGGTACTCGAACTGTACGGTCGGTGATTTCAGTTTGACCCACAGCGATGATGAACGCAATCTGATGGTCAATGAGGTGGGTTTGATGTCGGCTGCGTTGGGGGAGAATGAATGTAAATTATGGTTCGAAATTGAAATCCTAATTTAATTTTTTTTATGGAGTAAAGCCCATTTTCGGTGCTAATCAAAAATATAATTTTCACTTTTGTCATGAATAAAAAAAAAAAAATTAACTTTTGGGTTTTGTGTAATTCCAATTCTTTGAAATTAAGATTCATTCAAAATTCAATAAAGATTCAATTTAATTCCTAAAAATAGGCTTTACTATTTTTCTTTTATACCATTCACTAAAATCAGTATAATAATTTTATAAAAATTAAAAATAATAAAATATCAGATTGACTCGAACACAAATTTTTCATATCTGGTTGTCGGGTCGTGACATATATTGTCAACCCTAATTAAGGATCTATCTTCACTTTTACCTTTAAATTGTTATATGTTGGCCCATTAATATATTTTTTGAGTAAATACTTTGTTTTGTTCTCAGCAAATTTCATATATCCGTTTTAGTTCTTAGCAAATAAAAAGACTATTTGTGGTCTCTAAGAAATTCAAAATGAATTCATTTAGTTGAAATTGAGGTCCCTCACAAATTCAAAAAAGACTAAAATGGATCCACTTTGAATTTCTTAAGGACCACGAATAGCCTTCTTATTTGCAAGGAACTAAAACGGACATACTAAAATTTGCAGAGGACCGAAAAGAGTATTTACTCTATATTTTTTTTAGTTTCTAAAACTCTTTGTTGGGTGAAAGTGCTTGGGACTTGAAGTTTGGATGCAACTTAATCTTCGTAAGTTCACACAAGAACCACTTAAGAATACCATAAAGATTGTAACGGGGATTCAAAGGATAGGCATCTTGGAATCACCTAACTTAGATATAGCCAGGCCAGAAGCATTCGGCTTTATATGTGCTTCATCAATATAAAATGAGGGCCTGCACAATATATTACGGGCAACTGGTTAAGTAAAAGTACCAATGACTCGATTCACTCCCAAGGTAATATCAATTACTGATGCAATGGCACATAAATTTTTTTTTTTTTAAACAAATATATATAACAAGAATAAAGTATTTGTCATTTTAAATGATACAACTTGTATCATTTTACTCTCATAAATAAATGTAACCTACACCTTTATTTTTATTTTTTTCACTCTCTCTTTCATGATTTATCTATTTCTCTCACTTAAAATGACATAACTTTACATCCTTTAAAATGACACACATTTTTCTTATATAACAAGGGCACATAACTTATTACATATGCAATGCTGACAAATGATCGTCCTCCATGTCAATTTACGTGGCTATTTATGTACAAAATTTTGTGGTTGTTCATATTACAACTTATTATTACGCCAACACCATCTACAAACATCAACAACATGGATCTCCCGGATTTTATTACTGATTTGACTGAAATCATAGGCAATATTCTGAAAATATCTTCTCCAAGCCCTTTACTTACAACATATTTGGCATAACCTTTTATTTTTAACTTTAAAGTTACTTGAGTTAAAACAAAAAATAAAAGCTTCAAAAATTGACCAAATATCCACCACTTTTCTATTCTCTCTTTCTTGAGAATGAGATTTTGACAAGATTTGATATATATTTTTGGTCAATCAAAGAACAGCAATATTTCTCTCATTACAAGTGCCAAGCAATGGCAACACATCATCACCATTATGCAGTTCATCAACATAATAATCAAATTCTCAGATCCCCAATTATATTCAAATGAAACTAGGAAGAGGTTCATTACAAAGACAAACCTTGGAGAAACCAAACAAAACAAAACAAAAGGTGATGATGATGAATCGAGGAAATCTTTGAACTGCCAGCCTGGGTTAGTATTTATCAAATACTCAAATACGCTACTTGTGGAACGTAGCTTTTTCATTTGTGGAAAATGCAGATGCTTTTGAAAGTGGATGTGAATCCTCCGAAGAATCAAACACAGAATTATTATTCTCATGATGGCTGAGAAGAGTGATAATTGGAGAAGGGTATATTTGTTTTTAAGATTATTAAATATGTTTAATTGTTCTGATTTAATAGTATGGGGGTTTAATTGTTTTGAAAAAATGTAAAGTGGTGTTTTAAAAATGACCCTCCCTAACTATAAGGTGGTTTTACGAGATTTAGTGCTGTTTAGATCCTCTCTTTTTTAAGCTACAAGCTACTTATAAGCATAAGCTAGGCCAAACAGGTTTTGGGAAAAGCTCTTATAACGAAAAGCTCTTTTTTTATAACGAAGAAAAAAGCTGAAAATTAAAAGCTCCGCTTTTTTTTTAAGCTCTTATCTGTTTTTCTTGAATTGTGTGCTTTTTTTTTAAAATGAAGAGTGATAAAGATAGAAAGAGATAATTTTCTTGAAATATGTACTTTTAAGTAATTTTTAAGCTAAAACTTTTATGTAATTTCCAAACAACTTTTAGCTTATTTTTTTAAGCTCTTTTTTTTAGCTTTAGCTTATAAGTAGCTTCTAGCTTAAAAATAAGAAGATCCAAACAGCCTCTAAGCCTTGTTTTTTTGTTATCCTTTCAATGATCAAAAACCCTCTTTAATGCATGTTGGATAAAAGTTAGTGGGCGGAAAATTTATTACTGCACTTTTTTGGTTGTTAATTAGCAATGCTTCTCTAGTTCATGTATTCAACGAGTTTTTACCCATTAAGTTGTCCTATCCCCTATATTTTCATCTAATCAAATGAGAACTAACTTAAACATGATGCTCATTACGAAGACTACAGCGTATAAAATTGGTCAATTTCAAGCTTCAAGTTAACTTAAGATTTAATTAATTATATTCAACTAAGGACATGGCAATGACGACTGACGAGGACCATATAGAGATGCAATTCAGCTTATCCAACTCATGCCGTGTATCGTTATAATGCCAAAATCTTAATAGACGAAGTTACTTGGGATGGTTACAAATCGAACTCTTCTTAACTTCCCGGTTTTTCCACGTAAAATAATCCAAACACGTCAAGTTAAACTTCCCTTGAAATGATAACATTTATGCAGCTTTTGTGCTTACCATGCTTCAGCTATGGTTTCAAGGAAGGGTGAGCTGTGTTCTTAAGCAAATAAGATAAAAGAAATACAGAAGTAAAATGCTTCTGCCGATCAAGGGTTTCAATAGGAATGACACTAATCATCCCTCCTTTGATACCAATGACACATATCAACAACCAAAATGCGATTATCATTGAAAGCTATAACATGCTAGTTCCAGTTTTATATTGAATACTAAATAAAAAATAATTGCATTTCAAAAACAACACAGGAAATCTAGAATGGAGTTCTAGAAACAAAAATAAGAGGGGACAAAAACGAGGGTTGAAAGCAACATAACTCTTCTCAATTCAGTTTCACTTCCTACCACGGACCTTCACGGCCTGTCTGTTCCTCTTCTTGACACCAGACTTGGCAACTCTGAGGCTTCTGTTAACGGCACTCAACCTTGCAAGAGCTGCCTTCTTGAGATCAGGCCTGTAATGATTATCCACCACCTGCAGCACATTGCATAATTGGTAAAAAGAAATCAGACAAAAGTAGCTACTATATGGATTTAATGAAATAACAACTTCATCAAATTCTTAGAAGCAAGCATCCAAGGAAAAAATATGAATTTGCATTAACTTGGAAAGCTTGTGCAATTGGAAAACATGAGATAATGATTGCCGATTGAAGCCTAAAAGTGACATTCATAACCCAGTAATGAAGAGTAACTGTCAGAGCAAAAGCCAGTAGGCTTATTCATGAGAATTCATGGGGACATGCAAAACATTTATGGAAATTCAGACTAAGACCAAATATGATTATTTTAAGATAACATGGATGCAGATTAGAGGAGAATGATTAACTGGCATAAGAAAGGTGTAAGATTTCCTCAATTAACAACCTTATATCAGGAAGAGATCAACACAATACATACTACATTCATGAAAGAACTTCTGAATGATAGAAAGCTCAGAAGCCAAGCGTAACATGCATATTTCATTGAAGAAACCCAATTAGGGATTCTTCTTATGTGTTAGAGGCTCATCACCGCTGTGTATTATTGGCAAAGGCTCAAAGAGGTTTCATTTTAACTTAAAAACCACATGTTCCCTAAGCATAGTCAGATCTCAACAAAACATCTTACTTACTTAAAAGTACATCAGCGGATATTAAAAAAAGAAAAAAAAAAGTCTCATCTCATTTAAGTTTCATTTGCAAAATACTGCAATCCTAAAACAAATCTAGCACCATATTCCCCAACTACGAGCTACAACAATTACTAAAACCAAAACACATTGGCAAGTTACCTGGCAGTCCAACAGATCCATAACAAAATATAATGCAATAGAACATTTAACCGAACTGCAACAGCATAAAATTGGTTCTCATTTATGAAAAGGACACCAAAGTGAGCTTTGTTTTTATTTTAATTACCTGATTTTGGACACCAAAAGCCAGTAGGCTTCATGGGGACATGCAAAACATTTATGGAAATTCAGACTAAGACCAAATATGATTATTTTATGATAACTTGGATGCAGATTAGAGGAGAATGATTAGCCGGCATAAGAAAGGTGTAAGATTTCCTCTATTAACAACCTTATATCAGGAAGAGATCAACAGAATACATTCATGAAAGAACTTCTGAATGTTAGAAAGCTCAGAAGCCAAGCGTAACATGTATATTTCACTGAAGAAACCCAATTAGGGATTCTTCTTATATGTTAGAGGCTCATCACCGCTGTGTATTAATGACAGGCTCAAAGAGGTTTCATATTAACTTAAAAATGATATGTTTCCTAAGCATCGACAGATCTCAACAAAAGATCTTACTTATTAAAAAGTATATCGACTGGAGAAATTAAAAAATAAATAAAAGAAAAAGGCTGATCTCATTTAAGTTTCACTTGCAATGTACTGCAAGGCCTAAAACAAATCTAGCACCATATCCCCCAAATCTACACCAAATCTAGCTCAGAAGCCAAGCGTAACATGTATATTTCATTAAAGAAACCTAACTAGGGGTTCTTCTTATATGTTAGAGGCTCATCACAGCTGTGTATTATTGGCAAAGGCTCAAAGAGGTTTCATATTAACTTAAAAAAGGAAAAAAAGAAAAAAGGCTCATCTTATTTAAGTTTCACTTGCAATGTACTGCAAGGCCTAAAACAAATCTAGCACCATATCCCCCAAATCTACACCAAATCTAGCTCAGAAGCCAAGCGTAACATGTATATTTCATTAAAGAAACCCAACTAGGGGTTCTTCTTATATGTTAGAGGCTCATCACAGCTGTGTATTATTGGCAAAGGCTCAAAGAGGTTTCATATTAACTTAAAAAAGGAAAAAAAGAAAAAAGGCTCATCTTATTTAAGTTTCACTTGCAATGTACTGCAACATCTAGCTCAGAAGCCAAGCGTAACATGTATATTTCATTAAAGAAACCCAACTGTTCTTCTTATATGTTAGAGGCTCATCACAGCTGTGTAAAATTAGGCTCAAAGAGGTTTCATATTAACTTAAAAAAGGGAAAAGGCTCAAAGAGGTTTCATATTAACTTAAAAAAGGAAAAAAAGAAAAAAGGCTCATCTTATTTAAGTTTCACTTGCAATTTACTGCAATGCCTAAAACAAATCTAGCACCATATCCCCCCAACTACGAGCTACAAAAATTACTAAAACCAAGACATATTGGCAAGGTACCTTTAAAAAAGGGCAGTCCAACTGATCCATAACAAAATATAATGCAATAGAACATTTAACCTAACTGCAACAGCATAAAATCGGTTCTCATTTATGAAAAAGAAACCAAAGTGAGCTTTGTTTCTATTTTAATTACCTGATTTTGGACAGCCTTTGCCATCCTCCTGAACTCCTTCTTCATGACAGACTTGTGAAGCAAAGCAGCAGGCTTGTTTTGTTTCTTTGTCTTGGTGGTACCCAACAACACAGACAGATCTTTACCCACAGGCTGAATGGTAACAGTTTTCATGTTTGCCAAGCCTAGCATAACAATGTAAAGGTCAAGTTTAATCACAAGTAATTGAAATACTAAAATTCTACCATATAAAAAGGTTCCTTAAAAGAATCAACTCTGAGATCAGATTTCTCCCTTCCCTAACCTCATTGGGTAAACACATGATCCTCAAAATTACATTACCAGCCCAATTTCTACCTCAATAATACAATTCCAAACATTACCACTTGCTTTAATAGTGAAGTAAATATTATTCAAAAAAAAATTATCAATTAAAAGGATAAGTTTTTCAAGTACCCATTTTCAAAAATCAATTTTTTTTTCCATAAACAAAAAAAGGCACATACCAGAGTACTTGAAAGAGTTGAGGTTGTAGAGATTGTTGCTCTCTCTGCTGAATCGAACGCTCTGAGTGCCATTACCAAACTCTTTCACCAAAAATGAATTGTTGTTCTTCACGATTTCCCACACGAGCTGCCCTGGTACCGTCGCCATCTTCTCCTTCACCTGAATCGAGCAACTAGGGTTTTGGTTTAGGCTTTATTTATAGTCACAATATGGAAACCCTAATTTATCAATTTGAATAAACCGGGTCGGGAAGTTCGACCCATTTATCCGTTTACATTATCTGTATATTTGTGTGTTGGATTTGGATCTGATTACTAATGGGCCCAAGGTTCAGCAAAAAAACAAACAAAGATGGAACAAAAGATTAATCTTAACCTTAGCAATAAATAAATAAACATGGCTCAAATACTTTTCCCTTATTTTATAAATATATTTAATTAACTTATTTTATGAAATAACTTGTAATCTAACTTTTATTTATAGATTTTTTGGAATAAATAAATAAAATTTTCAAAAATTTATGTAAATCATCTAGACTTCTGTTAATACTTTGCTAAAAAAATAGGGGAAAATGACAGAAAATAGCCAAACTAATTACATTTATTATTTGAATTTGAAATGCTGAAAGAGTATCACTAGGGAAACGAATAGGCCATGGTTTCTTTTCTTTTCTTTTTTTAATATTTCCCTTAAAAATATCAACAGAACGAGAGAGGGATGACAATCATGTGATTTGTTGGTTCATACATTAGTTGCTTTCTTCCATATCTTCCATTTTTTATAACCTAGTAGTAATGGTCCATCTCTCAGGAATTTTTTATTGTTATTATCAACTGAATAATCAATTTGACATTGCTATAAGATTATTTTTTTCTGATTAAATATGTATCTTTTATATCCACTTAAGCTTTGTCATTCAATTAATCATAACCTATCAAATAAATTATGTTTTTTAAAATAAGTTAGTAAAATATTTATTTAAAATTACTATTTTTAAACTCTAATTATATATATAAATAAGAAAAATGCATACTGAGTAAATTAACCCAAATAAGGTACACCACACATAAAAGTAACTGAATCAATAATTTGTTGGTTTGAATTATACTTAACCAGCTACGGCCGATCCACACCAGGTTACGCACCTAGTTTTTGAGAGACAAAGGACAAATTATAGTTTACATGAATCTATACTAAAATTAAAAAAAAAAAAATATGTAAGATTGAAATTTAGTATAATTAATAAAATAATTGTTTTCTTCTTTTATAAGTTAGTCAAAGATAATCACACCAGAAAATAATTAAATATTTACACCAATAAAAAAAAGGATTGCTTTTTCTTATGTCATTGAAGACAAGACTATCTTCTATAGAGACATATTCAAGTGGGTCCTACACTATAACAAAAAGAAAAGAAAAAATTTGATGGCTCAAATTTCGAAGGATCTATGGCATGAGGTAAGCTCTCTCCAATGACATAAGAAAAACATTATCCATAAAAAAGCACAACAAATAATAAACATACACACAACAAAGATAAACCCTAGTACTTTTGACAACCTGCATATATGTATTAATGGCATAACAAGTTCCATGCAAACACAGAAAATTCAAATGGTGATTGATCCAAATGTTCTCACAATTACATTTTTTCTTTTTGTTTTAAACTTGGATTCATACAGGTAGCTTTGGAGTAAACCATCAAGTCTAACTCTAACATAACCAAAATAACTTACTCCCTACATAAAGCAAGACTAAACTATTGAATTCTGCAGTAGATAGTTCACACCCCTACTATGTATTAACATGATACCAGTACTTTAGAGGGACAAAAGATGAACCAGAGCTCACATGAATCTATACTAAAACTTAAATAAAAAAATTCATATTTAAAAATTCATATTATTTTTTAAAAAAAATGTAAACTTAGTATAATTAATAAAACAATTATTCTCTTCTTTCTTTTATATGTTATAATAGTCTTTATCATTTTAATTTTTTAATCATTCAATCCCAAAATGACATAGTTTAGTTTTGAGAGTGAATGCAAATAATTTATCAACATTCACTGTAGAAACATTAAATTCTAAAATAAAACCCAAGACATAAACAAACATAAAAAAGAACAGTTCTAATCCACTTGACAACCTGCACATGCATTAATAGCATAATAAGGTTCCATACAAACAGAAAATTGAAAACTGATCCAAATGCTTTCACAATTGCATTTTTTTTTTTTTTTTGTTATTAAACATTAGAGTACAATATAGAGTTATTGAACATTCAAAAAACCTAATTCATAACATTTTAAGAACCTAATATCAGGTCAAACACCTAATACTATATCATCTTTATACCTCATCCAATGTTTACATTATTTACAAAGCCAAGAGAAGCCTCAGATGATTTAACTCCTACAAATTATACATGAAAATGTCTTAAAATTGTACAGAAGATTAACCTTCATGGCAGAATATGTGGGGCTGCAAACTGTGCATATAGTTAAAAATAAGTAGATATTATTGTCTGCATAACTAAGCCAAAACCTCTCAAATTTCCAAAGAAATAATTATCCGCAACATCCATTCAATGGAACTCCTACCGAATAACTGAAGTCATGGGTTGGATGCTGGTAATGCACGGTGTGTGGACCGTGCCTGACCACTCACTGCTTCGTTTATCCTACTGAATACTACTTTAAGGGGAATACAAGCTATAACAGGACCCTTGAGCTTATCTACCACTGGTTTTCTTTCCTCTTCTGAGTGTTTGTGACCAGTTAATGATGACAACTTCCGAATCTTTTTATTTAACAGCCCAGATTTTTTTGCCTTGTAAGATTTCCTACGCGAAAAACGCGACAAATTCTTGGAAGGAATTCTTCTAGTTACCGAGTTTGGTTTGGCTACACAATAGATGTCACCAACTTCCAAGTCACATTCAATGCCACTCAATATTTTATCACAATGACCTTGATCCAAAACCTCAACTGTCAAAGGGTGTCCAATAAAGGCTTTGCCATTCAGTTTGCTCACAAGAGAAACCAAAGGGACATGTTGTGGCCGGTAACTGGATTTAACTTCTAGCTTAACATCATATAATGAAGCATCAGAACAATAATTTCTTCCAGGAAAATCTGCCATTGGATATCTGGAGTTAACTGTAAAGCGCGAAAGGCGATAAGGTAGCAATCTCTGAGGTGTGAGGAGAGATTCATCTGCTGTTGTCCCCCAAATATGTTTGCTCAAGTCCGGAAGTCCATCTAGTTGACCTTCAGCAATAGGTTTGCACTTGACTTGAGAAGTACAATTGTATGAAGCATGGGGTGCACCCATTCCATTCCAATCAACTTTCTGACCTGCGCCCTGACAAAATCCATCCAAGTTCCCCATTCCTGGCAAATAAGCATTGGATTCATGATCCATGCCCATATATTTTCTTGAAATTTGTTTTCTATTTTTACTTGTATGTCTTAAATTCCTCTTCCCTTTTGACTGCCACTTTGAACTACCTTTGTCTGCTCTGCAGCCAACACTATTATAACCAGCAGCTGAACTGGAACAACCAGATTCATTCTTGCCCTCATTTCTCAATGACGGAACTTCAGATTGACTAGCATGACAAGATTGATGTCCCAATGCACTAACTTGAGGCTTGTCAGATGAACAAGAAACAAGTATGGGTGAGAAACCTGGCAAAAGATATTACATCAGTGCAAAGTAATTATCCAGCCCAGGCCTACCACAACATACAAAAAGGCACACTTGAATAGCATGGCTAAACTGAAGCAGTAGAGAAGAAATATAACCGGACTATATTCTACAGCTTCAAAAACAGGCAAGAGGATTATATTGATTAAAGATAAACAAATGGGATTAGGGAAGCAAGTGGCATTGATATGCAAACCTCAGAAAAGGAATAAATTCACATATACAATTAACGTATTTATGCTTAATCCACCTGTACAGCACAACAAGCAACTTGAAACAATCAATTTCTACACATAATATTGGGACATAACACAAACCATGAAAGGGGGCAAGTTATACAATTCAAATAAGTTTGTTTCAGCTACATAAGTAACATGAGTGCAACTCGTTCAAGGTCAAAATTAAGGGTCAATGTATCCCAAGATTTTATTTCCAAAGAAACTAACCATAAAAGCATGCTTCAACTTAGCTCATTCAACTGTTATGAATCAATATGTACGATCATTATGTCTCTTCCAGGATCCACATTCATTTTCAATCTCTATTTTTCTAAATTCCATATTCTGAGTGAGGCAGTTCACAAACTATTTAACGTATTAATGCAACATACACAAAACAAAAATGGAAAATTAGCATAATGAGAAAACAAAGAAGTGAAAAAGGGGTGATGATGAACTGTGAAGCATTCATATGGCAATTGTAAGTTTTACACATTGCACATACAGAAGACACTCTTGAATTCAAATACTGTAGCATACCAGGACTGTGTTTCTCCTCCCCTAGAACTCCAACAAATGGCACATCAAATAATTTATCAGAAGAATCATTGCCAACTAGCCCTGGTATGCCGGAAGTCTCATTGTCCTTGATCCTGTGATTGATTTGGGGAGCATCACTACCAAGGTCATGAACAATTAATGAAGTCCCATTCCCACAAGCAGTCCCAGTACTATCTGAATTCTGAATTTCCATTGGAAAACTTTTCTTTGAATCATTAGAATCTAATCCAGAAATCCTTCCATCAGTTATCCCACATAGTGGAGAACTGCTAGAACTGGGAAACTGATCACAAATGACGGGAACGGATACCATGGCTGTACTCTCCAAAACCTTTGTCAAAGGTCGGCGTCGATTTTTCCTTTTCAATGACTCGTGAAAATTTGCTACTTGTGATCTCTTCCTTTTCAGTGTTGAAGAATAACACTTACCACCATTTACAGAAGTTCCATTTGCCAGGCAGTTCCCCATGGTTGAATTGTTGACTGAAGCACTAACATGCTGAACTATCTCAGTTGTACCTGTACCCTGAACCTTTCTCTTTGACACTACACCAATACCCAAGTCCTCAAGTCCTCTCATTCGCTTGACTCCTTCAGTTCCATCATCTTCTGAATCATTAGGTGTTCTTCTCCTCCTTCCCTGCACAGATTGCATCTTTAAAGAACCATTATGATTAGGCTCTTCAAAAGATATACCAGATTGTGACAATTCTGGAGCTGAATTAGAATTGTCTTCAGAGTCACTCACATCATTCGTCGGATCCTCATTGTCACCAACAGAATTAGACATGACTGGTAATTCTCCAGCTGATCCGCCATGTTCACTACCAGATTTATCTAATTGGGAGCACAAGTCTAATGGTTCCTTGTCCAGGTGAGCACTCTCTAGTTCAAGAGCATGAAGAATAGCATCTTCCCTGCGAGCATACTTCACAGCCTTCTTGTTTGAATTGGCAGCAGATGCCTTTGCCTTCTCAATGCATTCATCATACTCTCCACATCGAAAAGCTTTTACCCGCTTTGATTTTTCAAGATTATACCAATCCCTAAACCACAAAGGAATTTTCCAAAATCAGAGCTTATGCATATAACTGATATCAATAAACTTTAACAACTCAAACAACAAACAAATTCAAGAAAAACAATTGAGGTACATAAGCTAGAGAGATTTATATTCTTATTATATGATTATATCTAATTCAGAAGGTTAAAGGGGGGAAATGTGTAAGTTCCCTACTAACAAAAAGTTAACAGTTCTGAAAAAGGTAAGGTATATCCAAATCAGTGGTGACAACAACCAAGAATGAGCTATGTCTATCTTCCTAAAACTGGTCCTGGTTATTCTGAAAATCTATTTGTAGTGTATCTGGGAAGATAAGAGGATGGCATCCTAATGCTTCAGCCAAAACTGACAAGACTATATGGATCAATTTTGCATTCTGAAAGCATTAAATGAAGTAACAAAGACAAATAAGCATGGCTAAGATCATCATATTTAATTACCTTCCCAAAAACTTGCCGGAATGTAAAGTAATCATAAATAAAAGGAACTAAAACTAAATGTTACAAGTTGATTTTTGAGCTATGTCACAACACCCGATAAGTTACATCCACATCTCTTAAGTAACAAAAGAAAAACAACTTCATAACTCTCACTCTCATCAAAATGTTACACACAGGTCTTCTGCTACAAAAAATATCACAGGAAAACCATATAAAGGCCAAGCAAAGCATTGACCCACATTACAGGTGAGATGACACAGAAAACCTCAGCACATTTCTCCAAATCAATGGCTAACGCCAAACAATTGACCGATAAGTAAAGAGGAAACAGTACCAATCATATTTTTGGAGAAACATAACTTAGTTCTACTCACTCCTAAGTTTCACCTAACAGGAAAAAATGACATATTTAACCCCTCTATAACTTTAATACCTTGTAAAATTTTAAATAGAGATACCAATAATATTTATTAGGGTTTAGAATACTCCATGGCTAAGTGGCTGCAAAGTTTCCTAAAAGACAAAATAAGGACATTCCCTCAATAGATGAGAGGAATATGATTAAGATGCTGAGAAAACAATTCCATCCCATAGTAGCTCCAATGATATAAACCAGAATCACCAAATCGTATATAGAAAATCACTTCAAAAAAATGCTCTACAATATTAGTATAAACCCAAAATTCATCAAAATTACTGAAAATCTTGTCCCAAATATCGCAATCCATTGTTTGGTGTGAAAACAGTGCTTCTAGTTCTATCTGGAACCAAAAAAAAAAAACTTCAATGATCAAGCCAGCATCATATAGCTACAGCACCATCCAATTAAGGATGCTTTTGGCAGATATGAAAAATGGGGGAAAAAAATATTTAGACAAGAATATCAGCAAACTATCAAAAGCATATCTTCATATTTTGCAAAATTAACTCCTCCATACTCATTCCTCCTCTCTTCCTACCAAACAGTCAAACACCTAAACCAAAAAGTGCAATTCCCAATAGTTGAATTTATGAACTATAGATTAAAGAGATTAAAAAAAAGTCATACAAATGCATACAAAAAATCATATGCCAAAAAAAAAAATTCTAAAAAAAAAAATAAAGTGAAGATTACAAGCCAAACAACAAGAACAAGAACTCACACGCTAGCATCCTCGCGACCCAAAAGCTTGACCGGAGTACCAGATCTCGGAGAAACCAAGCAACTCTCAGACAATTCATCCAGACCCATTATCCGACCCGGCCACCATGACCCGTTTCGCCTTCGGACCCAAACCAAGCCACCCACTGACCCATCGATTCCGTTGATGTTCGACTCTCCCGAACTACCCATTTCGCAGCGGGTGGACCAAAAAAAAAAAAAACCTAGTAATCCCAGAAAAAATCAATCCGAACCCACCATTGCAGAGAACTACCCAAGTTCAAAACTGATAAAAAGGTTTAACTTTTGCGCAAAATAGCTCAACCCCTTCAAGCCTAAAATGAAAAAAAAATACAGTGAAAAAAATATATATATATATTAAAAATTGAAGTTTTATAATCCTGCATGCAACAAAGGGCAGAAAAAGCATCCACCTTGATAGAGCTCTGTGGAATGTGAGAGAAGGGGTTGAGAAGGGTTTTGATGAAGAAGAAGAAGATCTATGATACGAATGGCTGAAGAAGAACAAAAAAAACAAAGGGGAAATCGGCACTGAAAGTAGTGAAAAATAAATAAATAAAAGAAAAAGAAAAGGATCTAATCAAATATTTGTATTGTTTTTGTAAAGAATTTTTGACATTTTGTGGATACAGTTTGGTTTTGTGATGTTAATGTTTGTTTGGACTTAGTTTGTGCTGTCTGTGATTTCATCAGAGGCTCATAGTCATCCGTGGCACACACAAGGTGCAAGGACACCAAAGGGAGAGTGAGTCAGTGTAGAGAGAGAGAGAAAAAGAAACGGTTCCTGAACTGAGAGAGAGAGAGAGAGCTTTCTGTTCCCTGTTTGGATCGAAACGAAACATTTGGTATCTTTATGCCATGGCCCATCACAAACATGGAGGGAGGTTTTTGGTTTTGGTTTTAAGAAAGGGTTCGGTTTTTCTGCGCACGAAAGCAAATATCTGCCGTTCAGATAAAAATATGTTTATTATGTTAGCATGAGACAATACACATTTTCTTCTTATTAAGTCTCATTTATTTATTTTTGTGTTGTAGGAGATAACATGAAAAATATTAGGGATATACATAGGTCGAATCGAACCAAATTTTTTGAAAAAACCGAACCGAATTGGTTTAAATGATTCGTTTCGGTTCAAAGCTGATTCGGTTCGGTTCGGTTCAGTTCAGAATCGGTTCGGCTCAGTTCGGAACCGATTCGGCTCAGTTCGAAACCGGTTCGGTTCAGTTCGGAACCGGTTCGAGTCGATCCTATTTTGAAAAATAAAAATAAAGTTATAAAAATCAATTTGGTTTGGTTTGAAAACGGTTCGGTTCGGTTCAAAATGATTCAGTTCTTAAACTGGTTCTAAAAATCGGTTCGGTTCATAAATTGGTTCTTTAAAAACCGGTTCGGTTCATGAACTGATTTTTAAAATCTGGTTATTTTAAGGGCGATTTGGTTCGGTTCAGTTTTTTGGTTATTTTACACATCCCTAAAAAATATATTCCAAAAAAAATACAATCTAGGTTTGTCACGTTTCACCATTGTCCGCATTTTTTTTTCTTACATATATTTTGGTGTTTATAAATAGGGAAAAATGTTTCTGCAGTTAATGCAGATAAGTTATATGCAGTTATTCCTAAAACGACATCGTTTTGGTATTGAAATCTTAAAAAATTATAAATATAAAGACTATTATAACCCTGAAATAAATTAAAATTACAAAAACACCATGATTTCTGTCGCAAAACGACGTCGTATTGGGCTTACTGCAGATAACTTATATGCAGTAACTGCAGAAAAAATGAACCCTTATAAATATGAGGAAAGGTTATACTTACTACCTCTCTTTTTTACTCCCTCTTAGAGGTGGCAATATGGGTTGAACCCGACGGGTCAACCCGTCAAAACGGGATGGGTTGGGTTACACTTTTCAACCCACCAACCCACCTCAACCCGCCCCGTTTAGTAGTGGGTCAAAATGGGTTGGTGGCGGGTCGGGTCGGGTTGGGTTGGCCCGCGGGTCAGCCTTTTTTATTATTATTAGGTAGTATTTTATTTGTCACTAAGCTTTTGTGATATACATTTTTTTTATTTTAGTACTCTCCTAGAAAAATAAAGAAAAAAAAACTTTACTTATGACAAAGATTATCCATATATAAAGGCAAAATTAAGTTTCTAAAAAATATCTGAGTGAATATTAACGTATATTTAGGCTTGAGATTGAAAAAAATTAAGGAAAATATGAAATAAAAAATAAGTAATATTATAAAATTAATAAAATATAATTTATTATTAATTATTAATTGTTTTTTGTTTTTTGTTTTTTAGGCGGGTTGACCCGCCAACCCACCTCAAAACAGGGTGGGTTGATGTTTCCAACCCACCATCAAACGGCGGGTCGGGGCGAGTTGGTCCGTTTTGCCACCTCTACTCTCTCTTACTATTAAATCTTAACCGTGATTTCTGTCAATCTAATGGTTGTAATTTATTGGGTCATATTTATTAATTAATTATTAATTTCCAATAAATTGTAATCATTAGATTGGCGGAAATCAATGGTTAAGAGTTAGTAGTAAGAGGTAGTAAGTATAACTTTTCCCTATAAATATATTACTCAGTTTTATTATTATTATTATTATTATTACTACTTTAGTTTTGGTTCTACAAACATTTGGTTTTAGCATGCTGTTCTTAATTTTATAAAAATTAATTACTTTTGGTCACCGCTGGCTTGCTATTAAATTTAAGTATTGGCATTACAAAAATCATCTCACTTGAAGTTTGTCATGTCATATATTATTTCATTTGGATCCATCCAAAAGAAATAGTCAACTATCCTTAAGTTTTTGATTTTTTTTGTTTTCATGAATCCATTCATGTAATTGATGGTATCTGTACAGTGAATTGAATTTTCTCCTTGGTATAACTTGGTATATTGTTATAACTTTCCCCCTTAGTTTATAGTCTTTTTCATTTTATGTTTTATGTATTTTGTCCAACCATCCTTAATCCTTATACTAAACTTCTGGTTCTGTCCTTTGGAGCCAATGGACATTGAATTTGTCCATAAAGGAGTGGCAAAACCTCATATGATTTGTTTGAGGAATGAATCCTCTCGTGTGAAAAAAATTTAATTTTAATTATTCATTGATAAATCAATGAATAATTAAAATTTTCTCACATAATGTAATTATTTAAATTACACTTGAAAGGATCCCATATGTCTCATAATAATAAGTGGTTTGTTCTCCCAACTTCTTCCTATTACCACCACTATTACTGTTCCCTAAACTCTTCCATTCCCTCTCTTTGAAACCCCTTATCTCCAACACTACATGAGGAGCAGTGGCATGTTGGCTTGGGTTTCAAAACATGTTGGTGTAATATGTGAGTTACAATGGGTGAGATTTGTAATAGATAGATGACTTGGCATGCCATGCACATGAAATGAGGAAATAAATTCAAGTGTCCAACTTAGTTTCCTAGCTGGACAGGTTTTAATGCAAATGGTCCCATGTCAATCAAACATGACATGTGGCGTTCCTCATTAGCACTTGAAAGCCCATCTTAACTACAATAATAAAAGATGTTCACTTTTCAAAGATTGGGCATCAAGAAATTAAATCCAAAATAACAAATATTTCCTAAGGATTAATGTGTATTATATTATATGAGATAAAATTATCTTTTATATATATAAGTGTGTTAAATTCATTTTTTTTTCTTTTTCTCTTCACATGAGCCTCAGAGACTTTTACATATACGTAGAAGATAAAATCTCTTATAACATGAGAAATATCAAACCCTTATAGATATTTTAAGAGAGTGATAATTATCCTTTAAAGATATTATTTTATTTCATACATGCATACGAGAGTACGTGAGGCTAATAACAAGAAGAGAGAAAAAATTAAAAATAAACCACTTATTTTTATATGCGCACAATAAATTCAACTATCTAGTGTTTGTAAAGAAAATATATTTTAAATATAATATAAATTAAAATAAATAAATTTCACAAATATATATATGCATAATTAATAAAGTAAATTTTTTTAAAAATAAATTAAAACAGAATAGATTTAAAATTATAAGAAGTTAGAAACGACATGTCATAATTTAGAGTATAAACAATTCCTAATTACACGTCATCATCTAATACAAGTTATCTCTAAGGGCCCGTTTAGTGGACAGGATATGATAAAGATGGATAGGATAAGAGAGTTGGATAAGGATATGGACAGGATAAGCGTCTATCATATCCTGTGTTTGATGTGCACTGGATTAACAGTCTGATAGGATTATGTTATCATATCATATGTTTGAAATGAATTATATATCATTAGGATATGATATAAATGGACTAAAATATTGTTGTGGCAATCAACCTCAAGCCGTTTTCCACCATCACCCTACCCTAACTCACCTTCATCGCCCTATCCGCCATCCTCATATCCTCCTCCCATTTCATATTCGCCAACTTCAGCATATCCACCACCCTCATATCCACGAGGACTAGAAGCCCAAATGAACTAAAACAAATAATTGTTAGGGTTTTTTAGGAAAAGGATGTGAGGTTGTTGCGTCTTATAATTGAAGAGAAGAAGAGCAATAAGGAAGATTTAACACCTCTTTAGGATAATGGTTATGGAACTGTGACCGTGAATCTGAGATTTTGAAATCGAAACAGGGTGGATGGGAAGGGGTTTGGTTACAAAAGGACGCTTTCATTTTTTAGGGATGAGTTGGGAATTAAAAAATATAACTTTTGCTATTCTATCATATTGGTTTCTAACCCAAACCCCCCGTTGGGATAAATTATCAGGCTTTGGACAGGATAAATTGACCCAACCTGATAAGTTTATCTTATCATTTGGGTTCACCAAACAATGGATAAAGACATGATATGATAAATTATCCTATCTTATCTTCCCTATCAGATGTACCAAATGGGCCCTAAATCTATTTGGCTTCCTTTTTTCTCTTACAGCTTTCCTTTCAGCAATACTTGGTTCCTGTTGTTTATTTTCTTTTGTTGTTGTAGCAGTTGACTCTGTTGCTGTAGCGACTTCAACTTCCTTTTCTACCTCTTGGTTAGCTTGTGTATCAAAATCTTACTAAGAACCTAATATTTTAAATTTTATCAACCAAACTTTTGTCTAGGGTAGTAGTTGAAAAGGACACTTGCTAACAGAAACTTCAGAGTTCCTTTCTGCCTATTCATGATAGCTAAACTATCATCAAACATGCTATAATAAAAATGTTATTATTAACCAATAATTATTGGTTAAAATGGTAATGAGCTTTTTTTTCTCATAACTGGAGGTTTCAAACTTGAATTTTTGGAATGGATAAAATAACTTTTGAATAGTTATTTCTTTTTTAGGATATTGTCCATTGATTCATCAATTATTTGATTAGTCCAATTTGAGTCGGTAGGATCTCATGGGCAGTAAAGTTCCCCCTATCAAGCTCTAACAAATTTGCATTCTCATAAGCTTGAATTCGATACCATTGTTAAACTGGAATGCCACCTTATCAATTGATTCATATATATGTGGTATAATAATTATTTCCTATGTAGATCTAACTGTACTTCAACTCAACTAAAAAGTAATCAATAAAAATAATATTATTAATTAGAAGTTTTTTAAATTTCATATCATTAATTGGTTGGAAGAGGATGAAGACAATAAAATTGAAAAATAATATATTTGAAACTAATAAAGTCTAAGTACAAAATTGACATAAATATAAAATTTAAATTTAATAAGTCATTATTTTGGATAAGTGCTTTAGCATAAATTTGGGTCCAATTACTTATCTCACCATAGGACAAAATATTGGTGATAAAAG